CGACCAAGGATGAAAGTGACAGCTATTGCTTTAGAACTACTTAATATGACCAAGGATGAAAGTGACAGCTATTGCTTTAGAACTACTTAATATGACCAAGGATGAAAGTGACAGTGAACTTGAATTTGATATTTGCACTAACAATATATGTGGAGAAGAAGGTTGATCCTATGTTAGAAGGTGCAATATAATGGACTATGTTATGAAATCAGAGGTGCTTATCGTCACTGCAGATTGAAAGTGTGTCCTAACAGTCACACACAGATTCCCTTGCCAGTTGTTGAGGTATTAATAAAGGTTACAAAGCTATACAAAATCATTGATTCACAATTACATGTATGTACATACATGTGTTAATACACAAGACATTTTTTAATTGAAAAAAATTCAGGTAAAATTCAGTGAGTGAGTTGTATTTACTATGATGAATTAAATTTTTAAAACACACAGTTAACTACAAATGGAAAACAATATGTGTCAAAAATTTCACTAGCATCTGATTGTCCAGGATCTTTATTTTTGACAGAAAGCCATCACCTTTATGTAGAGATCACACGTACATGTAAATACCAGTTTTGCATTCACCTTGAGGCAGTCTTTTATATACAGTTTTCTTCAAGAGATTATTGGATAATTAGTTTTGAAATAGTCAAAAACGTTTTAAGAGTAGCACATTATTCTGTTTTATTGCTTTACTTACACAGTCTGTATTTTACAAATTAATTTACAATAATCTTATCTCTTGAAGCTTACCAGTTCAATCAGAGGACAAACATCTCCATAATTCATGTACAAACCTTCAATAACAAGAAATCTTCGTGTTACCTTAGCTTTCTTTGGATTCTGTTGAATAATTAAAGTGAAAAACAAATAATTAAATCAATATATCATTATTAACTGCACATAGATACAACTAAAATTACTAAAGTTCGACAAAATATCTATGTAGACACAAAACACAACAAGGACGTCTATCCATCGATCTCCAGTTCACACATTAACAAATATCCATATAAATATCAGATTATGTACATAACATCAGCAAAGTTCGTTATAATGCAAATAAAGAAATGCAAGCAAACCAGTAAAGATCCATATATTGCTAGAGGCAGATATAAAATCAGTAGGGATCCATATATAACTCACAAAAATCAACATGTATGTTGCACACACACATGAATCCAACTGAACAAACATGGGTGAAATGGGCAGAAGCTGTCTAACTGAGCATGACACTTGTGGAGAAAGTCTTGGATGATTAATCTAGGAAATCTGCACAGATGGAGAAAAACATCTCCTAAAGATGTAAGCTTTTCAAAACAGTGTCGAGCTGTACTAGGCAGCTGCCCATTTCATCTTTGTTCAATATGAAGATTCTGTCCATATAGCCTATAAAGGAATATGAATCCAATTTCTACATTATACTGATACACAATTAGCACGAATACAAATATCAATAAGAACCAACATATAACTGATAATAATATATACAATGCCCAGTAAGGATCCATATCACACTAAATATCCATGTACTATCAGTAATAAAGGTTCCTTATATCAGCAGTAAATAATGTCCACTCTTGATATTTTTAAATGATCATTAGAAAAATATAAAAACTGATGAATAATTTTATATACAAAACAATAATCATGTACATCATAAACTAATTCACTTCTGAAATAAAAAATTCTGTTATCTGACATCAATGTTTATGCTGATATTTATACATTCTCACCTTGAACTTTATTTCATTCCAAAAGATTGTTACTAAAATGATAAGTTTATAAATTTCTTTCCAGATTTCGTTTTTTCTTGGACCTACTGATAATATGTCACACTGGATAAATATTATCATACTCATAACAAGGTACACTGGATACAGTACTATGAAAATATGCTATCTATAATAATAATAATAAAAGTGCATGTCTGTCTGTGACCACCAAGAGGAAAGAACCTAGAAACCTGAAATTTTGCACACATATTAAGTGGACTCTGAGGGTATTATTACTTATCCATGTATGTGCACATCTTTGTGTGAGGTATGCAAGTGAAAAACCACATAGAAAAGAATATGTGACCACCATAGCACCAAGAGCAAAGAACCTAGAAACCTAAAATTTTGCACTCTTACCAAGTGAACTCCGATGGTGTGCATCTGAGTATTATTACTTATTTTATCCACATGCATGCGCTTCTTTTTAATGATGCAAGTTAGCAAGAAACCACATAGAAAAGAAGTGGTTTCTTATATAACAACTTCTAATATATAGAAAAGCCAGTTCATTTTAGAAAGAATGCATTCTAACAATGGCTTTTGTCATGTTGCTTAGCACGCTATCAACCTAATAACCCGAGCAAAGCCAGATACTTTTACTAGTATTATATAAATATTGGCCTATTGATAACAGGCTACGTTGGATAAATATTGGTCTACTGAGAACATAATACACTGGATAATATTGGTCTACTGAGAACATAATACACTGGATAATATTGGTCTACTGAGAACATAATACACTGGATAATATTGGTCTACTGAGAACATAATACACTGGATAATATTGGTCTACTGAGAACATAATACACTGGATAATATTGGTCTACTGAGAACATAATACACTGGATAATATTGGTCTACTGAG